ATTCTCAAGTTATTTGGCACGTTAAATATGTATAAAGGTATTTACATACTTTTACGTAACAAAATGGTATATTTTTCCAACTTTACAAGATTAAGTATACTTTTCAAATTTCCATTAAAATTTAGGGTATTTCTCAAAATCTCCCAAAAAAAATTCATTTAACGAAGAGAAATTCGTTCATCTCTCCTGCCGAATTTCGAGCATCGTCTCTTACTTCTCCTTTGCCGTCTCCTCTCTCATCTCCTGTGCCGTCTGCTTTCTCATATCCTATGCAGTCTCCTTTGTCCTCTCCTTCAGAGGAGGGGGTAAAAATCATTTAAACTCTTTAGAATATCTTTTAATCTCTGTTAAGAACTTAACCGTTGGATTTTTTTCTTTTCTTATGGATTAGTTGGAGGAGCAAAGGTGTTTCAGCATTTCAGATACACCAACGTTCCTTACTTCTCCAGCATTTTAGAATCTGAGCATAGCAACCGAAGAAGCCACCGAAGACCATGATGAAAAGAGGTTTAAGCTTATCCTTGAGGCCGTGGAGAAAGTCTGATTTCCATATGTGGAGAGCCATGCTCGGAGAGCCATGGAATGATGACTCATTCGTCATGCCGGAGAAGATGACTGATCATGCTTCCATCCTCGATTGTGTGTCTAGATCACAAGGGAAAACACATCTTACAATTGAGGAGAAGATAAACTTATGGGAGAAAGAGATCGTGACTTTGGAAAAAGAGGTTCAGGATTGGGCGGAGCAGGCTGATGGATGTGACAGTGAGTGAGTAATCGACTCCCAAGAAACTATTAATAAAGTCTAAGGATCAACATCAACCTTCCTTCATGTTTGCTTAAGAAATTTCTCCTTTTTTTTTTTTTTCCCAATTTCCATCTTTTTGTTGTTTGTTGATCTATCCTACCTAATTTATAATATCTAAGTTTGTTTGTGTAATTGTTTGGGAAATGAAGATCTATTAGAGAAAAAGGTATTTTGTGTATTAAGCTTTTCTCATTTCTTCATTAATTACGTGAAGAAAACAATTACAAATGTTTAACCGAAATAATAATATACAAACTAAGCTAAACCAAAACTGTTTTACAAAATGTTAGCTAAACCGGAACCAATGTTAATATCATCATCAATCTATGAAGTAGAAAATTCTACATTTGTGGTTGATTACAAATGTACCATTAATAAAATCCTCTTAATTACTTTTGATACCATCGAATTATTTGACTAAAAAGTTGGGTTTGGGCTTAAAAAATTTCGTAGCCCATGTTAAATTATTGAGAAACCCTAACAACTACCTCCATAATTCTTTTATATATATAACAAGTCTAGGGTTTAGACCATGTTATATTTTTTCTTTGATCTTTTTAGCTTTTTCGTTAGCCAATTTCAGATTACAAGTCTAGGGTTTTATTCCCATGTTATACTTTTTAGCTTTTTCGGTTGCAGAAGGCTTCGTTGCTGCCTAGGAAAATGCAGAGATCGCCAATGTCTTCAGTGTAAGAACTGATCCTTTGCTCAGGGTCTTGCCTAAACACCACAAACGTCCTTGGCTTCCTCTTGTAGTTGGATTCGTAAGGAGGTTCCTTGGCGCGTGTAGCCTCAAATTCTTCTCTGCTCAAGGACTCGTTCCACCTTTAAGAGACAAGAAGAGGCAGCAAATGAGGAGATCAGAATCTTTGGTTAACATGCAAACTGCATCAGGAAGGTATGGTTCAACGATGCACAAAATAAAGTGATCAAAACAAGCACAGATTATTATTATTATTCTCTCTATGTCTCACACGATTCTTCTCCTTAAGGCAAGCCCAACATATGACTTTGATTTCAAACAACATGTTGTGATTCAATAATGCACAATATTATTATTATTCTCTCAATGTCTCACACTGCTTGCATGCTTTACATTGCAACAATTCTGATTTTGATTTCAAACAACATGTCACAGAGAAATTCACTAATACTTTTATTATTCCCAAATTTTCCATTTTCTCTCAGAATTACCAGTACACGACCAAGGATTCGCCGGAAGGTGACTCGACGATGTGTTCAGTCTTGTCAGTTGAGGAAACCTGTTCTAGTCTCTTCTTGGGGGGTGTCGGATAAAAGGAATCTCTGGTACAGACTCACCTGAGGGAAGCCGGAGGAGCTAGTGTCGATGAGATCTACCGGACCATCGTACTCTTCCTAACGCCTCACCCTGTCGAGATAGAATTTGCCATCTCTATCCGAAAATATCATCTCCGAGGTGAAAAAAGGGGTCTTGATGGCTGTCCAAGACGAGTCCCCGGGCCGACACACACTGAGAGCTGAACTAGTTCACAAGGCAGGCAGCCACCACACAATCTTCCTGGTCTGAACTAGTGGATACATTTTGCGTTTATCAGTTTCACTTCAAAATTACAATGTAAGAATTAAGAAATGTATAATGAAAGTGAAAATGGCACAGTTTCACTTAAAAAGTAAGAACTAAGAACTGCATAATCAAAGTGAAAATACCAAATTTTATTTTATCACCTAGTTATTTCAACAAATAAAATAAAAAAAATCCTCAAAAACACTAAAAACTTAAAAAGCAAACAATGATCTAAAACAAACACCAAAAAACAAAACTCTTGTTACTCTTTAAGTGAAATAATCACTGTCCGAATGATACAAGAGAATCGGACTTCTCACAAGATGTCCTCTTGAATCATCCCATTCCACAGAAGCAGACATAATCCCTTTCATTGACTCATCCCAAACTCCATCAACCATAACCTTGAAATTCTTGGTCTCTCCAGGTTTAGCAAAACTCATAACCCTAGGCACAACTTGAACTCTTAAACCCTTTGGTGCCCAAACCTTAACCACGTAATTCGACGGACCATATCCAACATTCCTAACCGTTCTGTAAAAAATCTCCGTCACTTTCTCTCCACTCACTTGTTTATGCATTGACGGGGAATTTAGCCCGTCGGATCCTCCTAACCCTTGCTTGTGATCTACGCATCTGTATTCCTTCTTCGTATTGTTGTTATTATCGCCGACTAAAAGTCCGATACTTGTGCTATTATACCCTTCTTTGCAGAGGAATTGTAAGTAAGCGGTTTCGGTTATGTCGTAGACTAGACCGKGGTGTATTGCTCTCCTCGGGTTGATTTGACCTGACCCGTAACTTAGTTCTGCTTCGTTTCCTTTCATTCTCATCGGAGTAGCTGTAATGAAGTGTAAAAGATGGGAACTTTATATTACTTTTGAGAACACTTTGAAAGTTTTGTTTGATTACCTGTTGTCATTAGGGCGGATTTGATTGCGGCAGGAGACCAATCAGGATGGAATGATTTGACATATGCTGCTGCAGCTGCGGCGTGTGGACAAGCCATTGATGTTCCTGACATTACGTTAAAAAGTGTTTGTCTTTTGTCGTCTGGATAACCCGTTACCGTTGATAACTTCGAGTGTGCTGCAAGAATGTTTAGCCCCGGCGCTGAAATGTCAGGCTGTCGAAAAAAAACAGAGCTCAACTGAACCATTTGGAAGCAACGAAAGAGATATAACCAAAGAAATCCTTAGTTTGAGTCATGTTGGGCCTGAACCTGCGGCCCAACCGGTGTACGACCTAACGATTAGCGATCCGTGAACAGTAGAAGCCCAACTCAAACAGTAACCGCGGTCTGGTTAAGCCTGAATCAGATTCGGTAACTACGGTTAATGAAACCTAGTATGTACCCTCAAAACCTTGTACTATAAATAGGGGAATAAAGTGATGTGACCATTCATATCTCATTCCTCTGATAGAGAGTACTAGGGACCCAGAGCATAACCGTTTAGGTCTCTAACTCCGACAGAGAACTTACCGGAAGCCATCGCCGGAAGCCATCGCCGACTGTAAACACCGTAAACATTTACATTACATACTAGCTCGCAGCGACCAAGTAGCCCGGGATCTGTCCGGTCAACTACGCTCTTTCTAGTTCATAGTAATCAGATAGACCGAGATCTGTCCGGACTATCTGTAGCGGTATACTTTGTAACACTCATTTCGGCTCAACTTCTAATACACGAAACTCTCCGACCTCCTATCTAGTATAAATTCATTGTTCGATCTTTAGGTTAAACAAGTCCACTTGGGATGAAAGGTATATCCAGAAGGCTGATTCTGCGTCCACGGAGATTAGAAGTTCTAGGCCCGAACTTAAAGGTTATAAAAAAA